GACACATGGAGCAAACATGAAAACAAATTTCGAATACAACGATCTGGCGTGACAGATATGGTGCACGGCGCTCACATGTACTTATATATATGGAATGTATTTGGTTGGAATTGGATCAGTGGTACGAGAAAAATGACACCTTACGGCAGTCTGTGGCCGTTCGCCTTGCTCCTGGCGATCCACATTTGCGGCGCCGAAAAGCCCTACAGCGTCGACCTGAACTCCTTTGATCCTGTCAAGGACTACGCGAGCGATGGCAAGTGGGTCGACTGGGGCACACTGCGCATGAAGAAGGTGGGACGCAACAAGTTCGCCCTCGCCGGTGACTTTGAGTTCAAGCTGAACATGGGCGACGAGCAAGGGGTGAGTGGAATCCTGATCCTGAAAAGTTTCTCCTGCTCATTCTGCCCACTCCCTGCCGACCAGATAATGCTGCGTGTATTTGTCTACGACTCGGGTGCCGGCCGGAAGGGTCCCCTGGTGATGAACGTGAAGAAGCCCTTCTGCAAGTTCGTCAACGAGGACGAGAAAACGTATCCGTATCTGCAAAAGGCCTCCACTATGCCCAAGCAGGGTGACTGCCCCTTCCCCAAGGGCAAGTACAAGATCGACAACTACGAGCTGGAGACCGAGTTCCTGCCCGACGATGCACCCAAGGGAGATTACCTGCTCGAGCTGACCATCCTGGACAAGGATGTCGGCGTGGCCGGCCTCATAGCCATTGTCACACTGACCTGATGCCGACACCCAATTTCTCCATCTGCTCGTTTTTTTCTAATTTATTTCAGCAATGATTTCTTTCTTGTGTGTGCTTTTTGTCGAGTTTTTGGGTGGATCCATTCGACACGACAAGCGTTCTTCCATGCTGTATACTAACCTCTCTGCTCATTATGTTCATTCTACCTTTTTTTTTTGTTTGTATATTTTTTCTATTAATCACGGACCTCAATATATTGCTATCGCTTTCAAAGACAATTACACGACGCCAGCGGCACTTGCAGTTGCAGTGGGGGGGAGGAATGGGAATGGGGTGGTAGCTGCATGCCACGAGGGGGCTTTGCGACAGTCAAGTGCAGCGCACTCGTATGCTTGAAATGACAGGCACAAATAAAATCGAGCCACAAAACTTCTGCTTCAACACCTCATCTAATTGAAATTTATTTCCCCCACCAAAAAGCTAGGACTCTGCCATCCAGTACTCCTGCTGCGTGTGGCATTTGTCATTGACAAAGCTGGTTGGCAGGGCCACACGCTGGCAACGCCCATCATCAGCATCATCATTGTCATCATCATCATCATCGGTGCTCCCATATCTCTCCACTCTTACCCGTTCTCTGGCTTTTTCTTTTGGGTGCTGATTATCTCTGCATTACGATCCATTGATTCCACTTAAGCACCGTTACCATTTGCACACACGCTGATTATTGCAGGCCGACGGAGAGAGGCGACTCTGTGGTGGCGTCAAGAGGGAGGGAGGGGCATGCACATGCGACACTTAATTAACAAATATGCATTACAAACACCCGCAACGAGCGGCAATTGGTTGGTCATGTCAAGCCAGTACGTAACCCCCTCCTAAAGACCAACTCGTTAACCCTTTTACGTACAGCAGCAGCAGCCCTCCCAGTGTGCGTCGTGTGGCAGCGGGTTGCATGTGTTTAATTGAAAAATCATATGCAGCGCGCATAATTATGTTTATTGCAATAATCCGATGCAAATTTTCCAAAACTCAAACTGACACACAATCACCGAAATGCTTTAGACGCTTTGCCACCACCGAGTGTGGCCAGTGGGGCCAGAGGCTTAGTCAAAAGGGGGGAGGAACAAGCCCCTTAATGTTGGGTATATCTTGAGTCATTATTTACAAATTAATTGAATCTCCCTCTTTTGGTTGAGACTTGTTAAATATTTAACCAATAATTATTGAAAATTGAGTCATTTCCTTTACTTTGCATACTTGTGCACCCCCTTTGACTATGCCACTGCTCCATACACATGCACAGCCACCCACAAGCTCCCGCCGGCTCCCCCCCACCCCTGCAAACCGTGGCCGTTGCAGCTACGCCCTTGCGCTTTCGTGCATCTCCCCAGTCGGTATCTGTGTGTTGTATCTCTGCGAGCATCTATGCATAGCCGTGTGGGCTGAATCTGTAGCTGTTGTTTTTAGCTGCTGGCGCGCATTAAATTGCACTTTGAATTGCACATTTCAACGCCTACTGATTATGACAGATAATTATGTTATCGAGTGCCGCCACACGCCGCAGTCAGCCCAAGCCCTGCTCTCGTTCCCCTTTGCTCGTTCCTCTTTCACTTGTTCCCTGTCGCTGTCTCTGTCGCTGGTTTCGGGTTCCTGGTTCCTGGTTCCTGGTTCCTGGTTCCTGGTTACTCACCAAAATTGTGCGTAGAGGCACATTTCGATTGCACCTTTGGGCTACGGAATAATGTTCAATGATTTATGGAATTTACACGCAGAATCGCTTAATTATTAAAACATTTTCGTGCCGCTTTCTTCTTCGACTTCAACGTATTGAAGTTTGAGCTCTGTGGCTAAAGTCAAAGTCAAGTGAACTCGAATCCACTCTGGTTCTCTTTGGGGACATATATATTTACATACATTTCTGTTTCCTTGCCACATCTTAACATGCCTCATAGCCATTACGTATATATTTCTGCTTACCTCTTTGTGCTTTGTGGCCGTGCCTTGGGTACGGCAGGTACACATATTTTTAATCATCATTAACAATAATTCGAGAAATACTTTTAATTTCTTATTTTTTTTTGCTTCTTTTCCACACACAAACAAACAAACACCGGGGGGTGCGTGTGGTGTGTGTGCCTTTTCCTTTTCTTATGCTCGGTACGTATGGGCACTGGTATTCCCCTTTCTATTCGCGCCTCAATGACATTGCACTTACTGTCACACCTCCCCGGCCCCACCAGCCGCCACTTGGCCGCTCTCCTTCAAGATTTATGTGAATCCCCCTCTGGGGGATTGCTTTCGACGCCTGTGCTCATGTTGTTGTTGCCTCTCCAGCTCCAGCTCCAGCTCCAGAGCTCCTTACAGTCTTAGGTTCGTTGTAGTATTTTTTCTGTCACTTTCTTGTGTGCAATATTAATTATTATGGGCGCCCGCCACCCACACAAATAAATCATAAATTAAAAGGACGAGGACGAGGATGAGGACTGGGACTGTGGCTGGAACTGGAAATGGGAAAGTGGCCAAGCCAGCCAACCACACCCCCCGCCCCATATCACCCTCTTAGACAATTTTTATCATTAAACGCATTTGATAATTAAAAATTGTCATTTTTTAGCAGCTCCCCCCACACCCCACACCCCACACCACCACACTCTGCGGTAGCCACAGAAAAGTTTGGAAAAAATGAAAAATATTAAATTACCAAATGCTCGGTGATGGAAAGTAGCGGGGATGGGGGTGGAAGAGGGGGTTAGCTGAAAGGCATTTATCATTTTGCCAACTGTTTGTTTGATAAGGGAAAAAGCAAACCAACAATGAACCAACACACAAGAAAAATATCAACGAGAGAGAGACATAAATAAAAATTAATTGGTGAAGAGAAAAGCAAGATAAAAAGGTGGAAAGAGCACCGCATAAATATTACTTAAAATAGCTTCGAAAAATGCCGAAAAATGCCAAGCGAATCTGGGGTAATTCTTGTGACTAGTGGAAAGCCAATCTCCGATGCCAGTGCCACTCAGAGTGCCACCTCCTCTGCCACTGCCAGGGCCAGTGCCACTCTCGCTCATCTCTTTCATTTACCTTAATTTCTGTGCCATTTGTAGGGTTTCATTTCATTAAGTTTTACTGCTAGCACTTCGATGGTCCAGAGAAGAGATTCCTGCCACCGAAAATAGAAACAGAAACAGAAACAGTCAGCAGACAGCAGACAGCCGTAAAAAGTAATGCAAGAAGTGGAAACCATTATAATTGTTGCTAAATGAAGCAGATAGACAGGCCAACAGACAGCCAGTGAGCCGTTGCAGAGACAGCAAAGCTAACTGCAAAGCAAATGTGTTTCCAATTGATAGAAGCCTCAGCCGTCAGCCGTCAGCCTCTGTCAGCTGTTGCTGCCTCCTGCCCCAATTCAAAGTGACTGAGGCAGGACTGCTGATGCACCAACTTAGATGGTTTCTTGCTCAAGTTTTCCTTTTGCCAGAAAAAATTCTTAAACATTTTAATGGGAAAATATTTACAGCCAAAGAAAACCAGCAAGCAGTGCCAAGCAGTGCCCAGCAGCTGAAACTAAGCAGTGCAGAGTAGGATGGGTGCATCGACATGAGCTCCATAAAGGTGTATCGTTCCAATTAGTTTATATTTTTATATAGATAATATATTCGCTAGTTATGGGTAGAGCAATCAATCTGCAGGTTTTTCAATTTTAAATTTTCTTAGCTTTGGAGGCTTGTTCTGCATTGTTGGCATACAATTCCCCTTCCGCTCTCTTCTATTGCCACTTTTCGAAGCAATAAAATATTATTAAAATTATATTTTGCCTGCCACACGCAGACAGAATGAGACAGACAGACGAGATTGAAAGAGAGGCACACAGAGGCTGTAAATCAACGTCTCGATGACATTAAAATCAAATTTTAATGCCGCTACCCGAGAGAGGGAGAGAGGGCCCAGAATGCTGCGGCAAGCAGCCATGCAATTTCCTTTGCGCTTTTCGATCGAAAAACTTTCCCCGTCTGTAGTTTGGTCCGCTGCGCGGCAAAGCAAATTGGGGGGACGAGCGACTCTCAGCATTTTCACCTTGGTTACACTGCAGCGATGGGAATTTATTTGGGTTTATCATCGCTGCATACGCCCACCGAAAGTGCTTCCCGCCTGTGTCCCGTGTCCCGTGTGCCGTGTCCCGGGGCATCGCCCTCGTTCTGCGGGTGGTGCCGTGTCTGTCTGCTCATTTTCATGGGCTCCGGGGCAAATAATTGTAAATATTTGATACACAATAAGGCAATACAAATAAAATTGAAAATTGTTCGCTTTGTGCTACGTTGCCTTTTATTATTATCATCATCCACATCATCATCATCGTCATCAGGAGTAGGAGGAGTATCAGCCTCCAGTACTTATGCCCCTCCTTCTCCTGCTCCTCCTCCTGCTGTCTGGGATTCTGTGTCGTAAAGGAAATTGATACATAAGTCATTTTTATTGGCATATTCTTTTGTGTAATTACGTTGCAGGTAATTTAAATTTCCGTTTTCCATTTGCCATTTCCCATTTCCCATTTCCCATTTGCCGTTTGCCCCGTTTCCGTTTCGTGCTTCTCGCTCGATGTACTCGTAATTTATGCCGTGATGAAAAACCTATTCAAAATGTTATGCAATTTGCGTAAATCGCATCGATTTTCAGCTTCAATGCAAATAAGTTTGCCATCTTGATTTTGGGGATTTTTGGATAAAAGAAAGACTTGGAGAATAGTACAGCCAAAGACAAGGAATAGAAAAAATAAGGAAGGGAATGAAAGTATTGTTCTTTATTTTGTTGGCTTGGCTTGTCATTGGCTGTTGCGCCTCCTCAGCAGCAAAAGCTCCAGCATATTCACACAGATGCAGTAGACGAAGATCATCCTGAAGCAGTGCATGCTGAATGCCAGAAAGACCATGGCATCGGGCGACATTTCCTGGACGAGACGCACACTACTACAACAATTAAATTTTGTGTGTTAACTTCTGTCTAAAATCTGAGGCTACTGGGGGGAAAGGAAAGGAAAGGCTGCGAACGTTTAGAGTCAGTCTTTTATACGTATGTCTGTGCCCCTCATAATATCCCACAAGATCTGTAATCTGTAATCGGTTCAGGGAAGAGTGGGAGGCGGATTGGGGGTAAAGTCAAGTCAGGTGAAAAACTTTTGCTGCTTGCCACTTAACCGTTCAATTTGGGGTTCCGACATCCTGCCGCAAAATTTCTTCCACCATTCGCAGACTCTTCTCAGTCCCAACAGATGCCATTTCCCCCACCCCGCGCAGGGACTGCTCTAAAGTGTGTGTGTGTGTGTGTGTAGAGAGCTTTTTGGTGCAAAGTTTTTGCGGCTTTTTCAATATTTTATGAGTCAAGCTTTTGCGTTAACACCTTAAGTACGCAGGGCATTGCGGTTGCTTCGAGGAAGCAAGGGGAAATGCCACTATGTGTGTGTGTGGCAGGAAATAACGCGCAAGTTGCAAGTTTTAACTAGCAAACAACTTGCCTTAGACGAAGCCCAAACAGCATTTACCTCCACAGGCACTGCCACAACCACAAAATTGAGGATGAGAAGGACGATGACGACGTTGACTGTTGCGCCTGTTGCTGTGGTTGCAATGAACCATCGAATATTCCACACTCTCCATAGAAGCCACACACAAACACTCCCACTCCCACACCCGCTCCTCCCCTAGTCCATGGCACATTGTAGACGTCGACTACGATTTATTTCCCAGGCAACTTAAGTGCGCTTTACCCCCCCCCCCCCCCCCCCCCCCCCCCCCCCCCCCGACACACAATCGCTGGCCAGAAGCGCGCGAGAGCCTTTGAACAATGCCCATTCATACAGACACGCCCACAAGCCCACAGTAACTCACACAAACACACACACACACACATTCATGGAGTGTTCAAGCATTTGTCGTGGGAGGGAGGGGGAATGCAGGATGGCCTAACTCAATGAGTCGAAATTAAACAATGCAAAAGATTAAGTGCAGATTTGGGACTTTATCTGCTTGTGCCATAAATTGGTATTTAAGGGATACCTCACAAATGTCTATAGCACCCACACTAGCACACACACACAAACACACACACACACAGCAGAAGCTTATGGAGGAGAGGCCCCTGAAAGTATTTGGTAAAGTTTGCTTTGCTTTGCCAACAAAGGATCAGCCAAACACCCACGCACCACAACGATATCGCGCCTCTGCCACTGCCACCGACATTCTGTAGGTGGCAACTCTGGCAGAGGCAAAAAAACACACCCCCCGCCACACACAGTTTCTGTTCTGTTCTGTTCTGTTTGTTGTTTCCCAATACAGTTTACCTATTACAGTGGAGCAGCGAAGATTGGGGAGTGGCGCCACCACAACATGCACAAGATTAATTGCTATCGGTGTTTGGGCATATGTTTTATACTTTGTCTTCTGCAACTCTACTTCCGCTTCCTCTTTTCTCACTCTGTGTGTGTGTGTGTGTGTGTGTGTGTGTGTGTGTGTGTTTATGTGCTTTCTTCGTGCTTTGTGCGAAAGTTTTTTGCGCAGAAGGGAGAGCAGGTGAGTGCACTTGGCACTTGAGAAGGTAATTAAGCAACTATTTATGGGGTTCTTGGGCTGGCTTCAGACACAAAACACATGTCGAAGAAACCAAAGAAACAACTCAAAGACAATGATTTGGATTAAGCATTAAAAACAATTTAGAATATAAGATCAATTAGAAGTTGGGAACATTGAGGTGTCGCAGCACAAATAACAAACATCTGACTGCCGCACCCGCCCTGCGCATCTTTGCCAGGTAACGTTCCTCCTCGGTGCTGGGTGCAAGAATTTTTTCCATGAAAAACCAAATGCCAATATCGAACAGCAGCAACAGCACGAGAAATATGCAAATATTCACATCAACTCGCTCTGCAGTTGAGTGGCATCAAGCGGCTCCAATTCCACCTCCGACCTCATAAAGTGTACATATTCTTGATCAGTCCGTCTGTCCGTCTGTCCGTCCGTCTTGTTGAGCGCCTGGATCTCAGAGACCATAAAAGCTAGAGCCACCAAATTTTGCATCCAGACTTCTGTATGCTCACACTGTTACAGAAGTATTTCAAAAATGAGCCACGCCCCCTTCCGCCCCCGCAAAAGGGCAAAAACCTCCCAAACCTACAATTTTGAAGATAAAAGAAAAGTATGGAATGGCCATAACTATCAGATCAACAAATTACGATCCGATTGGATCATTATTATAGCCAGAATGAAGAAATTAATTTGCAGTGGCTAAACCCACCCTGTCCTGCAGCTTTTGCTGTTCTTTTCACATTCTCTCATTCACACTCTGCCTTCTGCCTCTGCCGTCCCTCTGCCTCTGACGATTCTTAACCCACCCCGTCCCGCAGCTTATATTTGCTTTTTTTTTGTATGCGGGCGCTGCCTCTGCCTCTTCCGCGAGTCTGCAGTGTGTGTGTCTAGGGAGGCGAGCTAACGGAGCGTGTTGGTGTGAGAAGTGTTGTAGATGTAGATGACAAATGAATAAAAAATTTAAAATTTGACAAATAACCGCTAAGGTGCAGATGTAGTACTGAGTGACGGGTATAAAAGTTGTGACGCGTAAGAAGCGTCTCACACGTCCCTTCTCGTTTTCTTTTAAATTTAATCGCTACAGCGAAATTGGTTGGTCGCAGACGATGAGTCCGCATTGACCAGGTACAAATGTTACTCACAATTTTGAACTCAAAAAAGAGTTGTTTGCCGAACGAACACTAAAAATATGTGGAGAAGAAAGTTTGAAGGAAACGAAATTGAAAGGATTGGGAAATTTTCAGTATGTACGTTTGGGAAGATCTGGATATTTATGTCATTCTCTAGTATTACTCATAGAATTTTATGTTACGTTGTTCCTGACAACTACATTCCATATACTATTTTATGTGGAAGAGATTTTTAAAGAAGAGCAAATTACATTCGCGTTTTCCGCCCTTTACAACACGCGTAGAGAATATTTGATGCCGCGAAAGGAGTGGGGGACAAAGTCAACAGCCCATGCGCTGCGCCCCGCGGAAGCAACAGGCATTAGTCGTCGCAGCTCCAGCCATGGAAAGTCGATGAAGAGGCCACCGAGGGGCGAGTACATTGCGGAGAGGATCGAGCACGTGGAGGTGGACCAGTATCATCCCGTTTTCTATGTCAAATGGCAGGGCCTGGATGCGAGCGCCAACACATGGAAATCGTACGACAATCTGTCGAATTGTGCCGCAATGGAACATTTTGTTGAGCGTATGCTGCAGCTGCATCAGGTTCATGTAGCAAACATCACTGGGGAACTGGAGACACAGCTCGCCAACATACCGCCGACTGAAGATTTAAAAAATATAAGCATTGTCGAGATTGATGCCTATGATCCGCTTGAGCTGCAGATTGATATCATATTGCTTGCGCAGTTCCGTGCCGCTTCTAGTCGGAGCCTGCGGAGAGACGAACGAATCGGGCGGCGTGCCCTGCGCCGCATGCAGATTAGCCGGTGTCACTTTGCTCGCCGCAAGCAGCTGCATGAATTGCTGCGGTTTGAGCAGCAAATGAATCGGGTGGAGCTGCCGTCACCGCCCATACGAGTGGAAAACAATTGGGATCTGGATACGATTGACAGCGGTTTCAAGTACATAAAAAATAATATCATTGGAGCAGGAGTACCCAAGCCGCAGGCTGGACTTGCGGGCTGTAAGTGCCATGAGAGCGCAGAAAGTTGCACCGCCTCTTCCATGTGTTGTGGAAGAATGGCTGGCGAACGCTTTGCTTACGAGCGTAGAACCGGGCGTCTGCGGCTCCGGCTACGCAGTGCCATCTATGAGTGCAATAGCCGATGTTCCTGCGATGAAAGCTGCACCAATCGCGTCGTACAGAAAGGGCGACAGCATCCGCTTGTGCTCTTCAAAACCAACAACGGAAGGGGCTGGGGTGTCCGCACGCCCCAGGCTCTGAGGAAGGGAGAGTTTGTCTGCGAATATATCGGAGAGATTATCACCTGCGACGAGGCTAATGAGCGTGGGAAGACCTATGACGACAATGGGTGTACCTATCTGTTTGATCTGGACTACAATACATCGCTGGATAGCGAGTATACTGTGGATGCGGCCAACTACGGCAACATATCACATTTTATCAATCATTCATGCGATCCCAATCTGGCTGTGTTCCCTTGCTGGATCGAGCACTTGCACATGGCTCTGCCCCACCTGGTCTTCTTCACCATTCGTCCGATCAAGGCGGGGGAGGAGCTCAGCTTTGACTACACTCTAGCGGACAATGAGGACGTGCCCTATGAGAATATCTCCACGGCTGCGCGCGTTCAGTGTCGATGTGGGGCGGCCAATTGTCGGAAGGTCTTGTTTTAAGTTCCAATGCCAATCAATGCCAGCATTTGATTATTTTTTTTCTTGCTGTTGCTGCCCTGCCAAGTGATGCATTACGAGCCTCAATCGTTAGAATATAGTTCCAGTCTTTTGGAATAATTTGTTTGCTTCCATGTCAAGTTTCAGATTTTATTTAACGAGAGATGCAATTAAATGAAATAAATAAAGAAAATTTAATGTAACCTAGAATTAAAATAACTAAAACTACAGGAATGTCAGTTCTGCGCCACAGAGATAGACTTTTTGGGATTCATCCTAAACGAGGATGAGATAAATCTTCAGCTACAGATAACACAAAGTAGAGATTCAGAAATAGCCAAATAAAGAGATGAGCTCGAGTCTGGACCAGTAAAGAATTTTACACTTGAGGATGGAGTATACAGAAATGAGTGATTAGTGATGGAGGAAGCTGTTTAACGTCGATGGAATTCGGCTCCCTCCTGGTAGAGAACATTATTGAACACGTTAAGTTAGCTACGGCATCTCCGCAAGCAAACGGCCAGGTAGAGCGAATAAATCGAATAATTAAGGCGATGTTAGCAACAAATTCAGATCCCATTCAGCATTCCGATTGGTATAAATTGTTAGGTAAGGTCGAATACGCAGTATTCAACAACGGGACAGGCTCTCTCAGTTTTGTTGTACGTTGTCTATCAAAGAGGACTCGTGCGACAGGCACTACTTGAGTGGAGTGTCGTGGCATGCCAAAAATGTACAAAAAAACTATTATATGGAATGGGGTGAATAAGTAGTACTCGAAATTATGATATCAGAATGAATCAATGAAGGATTGGAAATTGTGTCTGAATACAAAATTAGATCTGATGTCTGCCGTTCTTGGATCCATCCGATGGACTCCTCCCACCAAATCCAAGCTGCTCTCTCTCTCATTCCTTGCTTTCCTAAAAGTATATTTTCTCCCCCCACATTGTTTGTTGTTTGTTTCGTGGCTCAAGGATGCTCCTCCTGCCACACAGCATTTCCTTTCTTACTGCAATCGTTCGTTATTCAATTTCATTTGCAGACCAGGACCATAATTCGATTGCCACATGTCTTAATGCCATAATCTCAAGGAAAGGACATGTGGCAACAATAACAGCATACTGTGCTGGGGCTCCTTTCATCCTTGCCCAGCAACCAAGCCACCAAGCACCCCCAAAGAGCCCAACAGCCCGAACGTATGGCTTCCTCATGCCCTCTCGACTGGCTGTGGCATCAACACCATATCACTTTGATTACTTTATTATTGGTGGGCATGCACACACCTTTGTGTCGTGTGTCGGAACGAGTGTGTGGAGTGCCTCGTACACGTATTCGTATGGGTCCGGGAAATGATTATGGTGCTGCCTCCCACCCCCTTCCGGTACTCCTGGCATTATCCCACTTTACTTATTAGAAGCAATCTTCTCTTCTCTTCTCTTCTTTTCTCCAACCCCCAAAGCCCCATCAAATGATAGAACGAGAGAGAGAGAGAGAGAGGGAGAGGCTGATAGTTGGAGGGAAAAGGACAGCTGAAGTAGCAGCAGGCAGTAAGCGAAATTATAAATCATTTTTTCTGTTTTTGTTGTTGATTTATGCGTTTGTTCGATGCCTCTCACCCCTTCATTGTATCTCTGTTTCTTTTTATAGTTGTCACTCCCACCACCACTCTCTCTCTCTCTCTCTCTCTTTCGGCGTTTCTCTGTTTCTTCATCTCTTTATCTACCCTGTAATAAAGGAGTGTTTTGGACTCGGCCACAAGAGCGACACAGAACATACATAAATATACATAAAAAGTGAGAGCACAACCATAATTTCTTCTGAATTACTTCCTAAACAGATGAATGCATATCCTACCCACTAATCCACTGAGATGTCGTTTAATTTCCATTCAGCTTTTATTCATTATGGAAATTACTCTTCAAGTCCAGGGTAATTTAGTGTCGTAATATCGAACCCCAAGTACTTCTCTCTGTACTTTTTTTTTTTCGATTTCTCTGTGCACTTTAGCTCCTGTTGATAATGAGCCAAATCATTTTTCGTGAGATATATTCCCCAGTCCCCCCCATCGTTCGGCATACAAGTAGCTGGAAAACTTATGTTCCCCCCTCCCAACTCTGCCTAAGCTAGTTACTATGCTTTTGTCTGGCAAGTCATGCCCTCCCTCAGCCCTGCACACCTTAAGCATAGAGAGAGAGAGAGAGAGCGAAAGAGATGGGAAGTTTGGCGTCGACAAGTTTGAGTTTGGTTCGGTCCTTGAAAGCGTTATAAATCATTGACATGATTAAGCGACGCGGCACGACACGACATCCTTTTGTTGCACGAGTATTCACTGTAGTTGTGCGAGTATGAGTATACAGAGGGGTTCCTGTGGGTTTGGATTGGAGTAGCAGTGAGAGTTAATCCAAGACGGAAGGGAGCCTGTGGGCAAAATGATAATTTAATACCGAAAAATGTTTTTATTGAGTTGATTTGTAAGTGGAACTAGTCGAACGGCGAAGACAATCCTGTGGAAGAAAGATGCTTAAATATTCGACAGGAATCGAATTGTGGAGCTCTTAAGGGGTTTTAGACCAAGAGCAGAACCAGAACCAAGATCAGATTCCAAACGAAGAATTCTTCGACATGTGTTTTGTGTCTGTCCCCCTAAATAGTTACTGGAGAATTCAACTTAATTAAGCTTAATGTTAAACAACAATAGCAGAAGGTCGGCCCCTGCCTTCGTCGCGCATTGGGCTCATGACAGAGCCGTTACATTTGTCACATATATATACAGCTACAGACATAAGTATATACATAAATACATAAATAGATATGTACATGCATGTACCGTGTACATGTTACATGCCAGCACGAGCAAGAGTACTCTTGGCGTTTCGTTTGCCTTTGCACTTGTTGTCGCTTCTTCCTTCGTTTTCCATATTCCCATTGCCATCTCATGCCATGCCATTCCAGCAGCCAACAACCGTTCCTCACATCAAATATATTTATGTGTACTTTGGGAAACTTTGCTAATATGTTAAAACTGTTCATTGACACCAAAAAATGAGCAAAAAGCGGGCCAGCGGACAGAAAAAAGGCCAAAGTAGGAGGCTCTTGCTCTCTCGCGAGCTGTTTGAGTTTCGACTGCCTGCAGGAGCAGCGGGGGTGAGGCATATGTGAGGCACGACGCGATTTTCTGTCAGTGTTTGCAGTGTTGGAAAACACAAACACAAACTGTGCGCTTATTAAACGGCAGATGGCACCCCCCAGCCCAAGCCCAGGCCCTCGTCCCGCCGTTACCAAGAGGTTGGGGGAGAGAGTGGTTGGCACAGAGTTCTAGTCAAATAGCCGAAATAGAAACAACCGAAACAAACTTTGTTTGCCGCTACAGCAATATTAACTGTTAATTATGGCCATTCTGGCACGCCCTCTTTGTCTGTCAATATTGGTTGAAACACTTTCTGATAGCCGAAATGCCTTTTGAATATGACCAAACCCGAACCCGAACCCGAACCCCGAAACGGGCAAAAGTTATGCAATTGCACAATTGCAATTGCCGTCGCGTTGGCGGGTGGTACGGGCACGGGGCACGGGGCACAGCATTCACTATTTTATTAGAAAAGTTTCCATCGACCATCCGGGCCACTCCAGCATCATTCAGCAGGGGGCGGAGGATGTTCGGAGTCGGTCTACCCCAATGTTTGACTTTATGCGCTATTTTTTAATATTTATTATGGCTGATTGCGATTCTCCTCAAGCCTCCTCATGGCCATGCGGAAAGCCGAGCGTCCATTGTGAATTCCCGCCCCCAGCCCCACGCTTATTGTTTGCTTTGCGGCGTACCAAGGCCAACACCAAGGAGCGGAGGAGCTGCAAAAGAGACGTAGAAAAAGAGGAAACACATTCTGTGGAAATGTAAAAGTTTAGACAGAGGGCTGACTGCATTCACGCATTATAATTTAAGTGAAACATAAATATTGATGTAATAAATTAATTTCTGTTAAATTGAAAGATAGAAACCCCAGAGCACAGATCCCAGAACCCAGACAGGACCAAGGCCTTGATTGGACGACTACTCCTGGATGAGTTTTGGAGTGCTGCCAGGGGTGGATCGAATTTGCCTTTGTTTTTTTAGCGTCATTCCAAAGTATTACAATGTATCAACAGAGGTCGAGTGGCTTTTTGAAGGAACTTCAATGACATTTGTAACTCAAATAAATCCAGAAATATCAGTATTGATTTTGGCACTGAAGCGAGTAAAACTTTAAATTTTGTTAGAGCAAATTTTGACGAGCATTCGAAAAAATGCCACCATTTATACGCGACGAGCAGCCATCGGGCTGGTTTGACGAGTACCCAGAGCTGCAGGAGGTCCAGAACATGCAGATGATGCACCCGATGCAGCCATTGCCACCGATCGAATTCCAGCAACCCCAAGCCCAACCCCAAGCCCAAGCCCAACCCCAAGCTCAAGCCCAACCCCAAGCCCAACCAACAGTCAACAATAATATTGATTTGAATATGGAACTAATTGAACTGCTTGACACTGTGGACAATATGCTGAATGGAAGGGATCGCCTGCATGCTACTATGGAAGCCATTCAAGTTCGTCTCCGACGTTCGGCGCACCTTGAAGCGGTGCAAGAACTCATCAATGTGAGAGATGCACTTGGCCAGCGGGAGCAGACGGAGGATGTTGTCCGCCAGCAGAGCCTCTACGAAGAGCAAATTACAGCAATGATGGACGAATATAATCAGATTGTTTAATGTTTAACGTTTTAAATATATTTTTTTTCCACTAGAGTTGGAGCTACTTTCCGTCTATGATGCACTCTTGAGAGTCTTTCCAATTTCCAACTTTAGATTTGCAGTCAGTCCCCCAAGCTATCAGATCCCACTGGGGAATTGTTGGATTTTCCTCTTTTCGACAAAATAACAAATGAGGACCGACAATGGCCGTCCATCCGTCCATCCGTCCGTCCGTCCAGCCCTGGCTCTTGTGGCTCTATTAAGCGCATAAAAATTTGCCAACCCATTGTCTTTAAATGGGAAATTCA